TATATTAGCATTTCCTATACACCATACAATTTTGAAAATATTTTGACTCTTTTTGAGCTATTTACAGAAATTTTCAGTTTTCAATTTTTTTAGTTTTTTTTCTATGAATATCAATAAAGTTTTATCTGTTGGGCCAAAAAGTGTAAAAATTTAATACAAGGCTTCTGATATATTGTTACAATAGCAATTGAAAAATATAAAAATACATAAGCACAATTTTTTTTTAAGCATTTAAAGATCTAATTTTGACAAAATTTATCAAAATCTCGAAAATTTTCAATCATTCTAATTAATGAATTATAAAATGTTCAGTTTTTATAGCTAAGGATTTAAAATTTAAAACAAAGATTCTCATAAATAGTTCACACTGTAACCAAAAAATCTAAAAAATATATGTACACAGTTATTTTTTACAAACATTTGAAATTCAAATATGGACGAAATTACATATTAAAAAACCTAGAATAACTATTTTAGTTTTTTTGTTGTGATTGAATAATATTATTCGTGGGTGCTTGAAACTTCAAAAGTGTATTATTATTATATATCTATGATAGTATCACGGTTTTTATAACGCGTTGTAAGTACCTAATGGATATTGTGATATGATTAATTTGGAGTTTATTATAGGTATCTATTTTTTGTTTAATACCATATATATGTATATAATATGTCTTATACCTAGACTGACATACCGTCTCCGCTCAGAATCGTTTTTCTTATACAATGATATAATATCATTGAATTCAAATGCAATACCATCCCTTATACTTATAACCTACTGTACAACAGAGCGACACCCACTTGCCCACCTTTTTTTTGATTTATACACTCCAGATAATTTAAAAAGTGCTCTCCTGCGTCTTAATGTTATTCGTTTATCTGCCGTATGCTTCAAAAAATTTTTGGCTATGATTCCTATACACATATAATAATATTAAAACAATTACCCACATAATAATAATATATTAATACTATTCATACATTATAAATACTGAAAAGTAATTCATAATGAAATATTTTATTTATTTTATTATTGTGCCTATACACCTTTAATATACAAATTATTTCAATTTTTAATTTACTCATAGCTAATATACGATATACCAAAATATAAAAATGTGAAATGTGAAATATAAGTTTTGGTAGTATTTATTTAATTTTAATTTGAAAGCGCTGTTGTAAAAAACTCAAAATTTCTATTACCTAAATTCTAATTCATGCCATAATAATATTATAAAATTAAAATTAATTAATTAAACTCACTATAGGTACTTTTTAAATAATGTACCTGGACTTTTGGTTGTTATCTTTTTGTGAAGCTCTCGTATATAATTGCCACCTGTATTAAATGATACTACAGCAGTACAGCAGTATATATTTTAGTGGTGTACGACTGTTTTTGAGAAAAATTAATTCGTTTACCGCCTATGTGCTTATTAATGCACTATTAAACTGTTCGCAGATGTTGTTATCATTTATCAACATCAAGTAATAAACTTTTTGCATTATCAGCAACACGTCTAAGTGCAGTTGTCATTTCTTTCATCAAACCACTTTGCAATACTTCGTCGATCACAGTGGCGTCCGCAGGATTTTTCAATGGGAGGGGCTTGAAAATTAGTTACAATTTTCTTTTCATTTTGTCCAGTCTAATAATTTCAGACGTTTATTTGAGGTATTTTAAAATGTTTGTAACTTTTCAACTTTTCTGGTAGAAAAAATGCTCTGATCATAAGCTCCGATGCTCAGTGTATGTTTTTGGAAGCAAATTGGATCTAGTTGATACTATTAGGAGGTTGAAATTGAAAATGCTCAGTGTTTTTAAAAATAATTTGAGAAAAAAAAATGAAAATTTATTTAAATGTTTGGTTATACCGTCTTCACTTGGATTGTATTTGAATAATTAAATTTTTGTTTTCTATAAATGTCAATAAAATATTATTTATCCGGTCAAAAAGCTTAAAAATGTAATACGTAAGTTTTTTTATTATAGCTAAAATATTAACGATACATAGGTATCATGCTTATTTTTTATAAGCATTTAAAGTTCAAATTTCGTCAAAATCACAGTTAATTTGTAGCTCAAAACTTATAAAATATTAAATGTGTATAGCTAAGGCTAGACAATTTAATACAAGGTCTTTCATACAAATAGTTCATACTTTTACCGAAAAATTACAGATAATTTATGAAAATTGGTATGTTACAAATACAATGTTTTTTCAAAAATGAATTCATTCTGGTAAGACATATTTGAAATTTACGTCTTGCTTACTATAAAGTAATAATAATACGGGTAATGGGGGGGGGGCTTTAGCCCTTAGGCCCCCCCCCTGCGGACGCCACTGGTCGATCAAATTCAGTTCGTATAACTTTCTTCCAGTGCAAAAATATCGGGCACAATTAGAGTGTTTGCCAAATAAATGGTATGGACTATTTAAAATATCCTTTCGCAAATTATGTTCAATTTATAATATGTACCACTTAACCTGGTTGTGGCTCAGATTGTCTACATTGAAAGATTTCTGTTAATTGTTATAAATGGTTTTTTGAGTACCATGAGCTGTTAGGTTAAGTTAGCTTTTTTAATATTAATTCAATATTTATTTTTTAAGCTGTAGCACGTGTCAGACCTCAACTAGGTGAAATCGTACCGAATAATGTTGTATCGGAAGGTTCATCATCATATCAAGTTCAAAATGTCGATAATAATGAACTGGATGAATATTTTAACGATGGGTATGATAATATGCTCGCTGAAATGACTGAAAATGATCAAGGTGTCGTGAACGTTCCGGCTCAACGTCAACCAGCACAGCAAAGTGTTACCCGGCCTACTCCACAAGGTCATATTCAGATTGCTCCTGGAATATTTGTCCCAGATGTTCCGGCCGGTGGATCGAATGCGGCATCCGACGACGATATTATTTGTATGAAGGCAATGGACGAATTTGAGAATACAGGTTAGTTTTATTTATAAGAATTAATTAGATTTTTAAAAGACCTGCTGATTTTTCCTCCGTAGATTATTTTTTTTTTTGAAAATTATTATCGTAAGATTTAAAAAAGATTTTTGAAATATGTGACATTAAATTATTTGTAAATGTCACAAGTTAAAAAGATAAATAGCTGTTTCATTAGATTTTATTTATCAGTCGTGGGGTTAATTAGATTTTTAATAGATTAGTCAATTTATTATTTTCATTAGATATTAATATTAGGTTTTTTTTTTTAAAGATTCTTTCACTACCAACGTTAACGGGAAACGGGTTTCCTCTGCCAACACCACGTCGGCTGCTAGGGCGAAAAAAGCGCGCATGAGCCTAGTACAGTCCCCCGGTTTCGTTGAGATTTCGTCCTCAGCAAATAGAAAAATTGTATGGTACTATGCCAAAAATGTTTATAATACAATGATTTATACCGAGTTTCTTCGATCGCTCGAACCCGAGCTAATAAAAATATTGAAAACACGCGTTCAGCAAGGGGCGATTAAATTTAACCTTAAGCTCGAGGCGACCTATAACCGGGTCAACGTACCAAACTCGTCGGAGAACCGAGCGTTTAAAACAACAGCAACCGAAATTTATCCGGATAGTGATATCGACTCAATAGTAGAACAAGCGTTCGTGAAATTATTAGCTGAGGAAGACGCTTATGTTTCTCGCGGTAGTGGCTTTACTTTGGAAGCCATAGACGGCTTATTATTGGGAATATATAACTACACACCAATGACTGGGTCGTCATATATTGAATTACCAGCATACATCGACAGGAAACGGGGCACCATCAACCCACAAAACAATGACCAGCAATGTTTCAAGTGGGCGATTCTTGCGAGGCATGTGGCCGATAATTTATCGGATAAATATAAATATTGTGTCGGTAAAAACTATACACAACACGAAGCAAAATATAATTTTGATGATATTTCGTTTCCAACACCACTATCGGATATTTCTAAATTTGAAAAAAATAATCCGAACGTCACTGTGAATGTGTATGGGTTGGACAAAAAGTTCCAGCCACCGCGTAAATATCCGACGTACGAGGTGTACCCGCTACGTGTCGTTGATGAGGAGAAAACCAACCACTTTGATCTGTTGTTGGTGACGGACGGCGAAAACTCTCACTACGTGTATATATCGAATTTTTCCAGGCTGGTCCGCGCTCAGAAAACCAGACACACTGGGAGTGTCGTGTTCTGTAAGAGATGTTTTACGAGTTTCGACGACAGACGTCATAAATTCAAGTTGAGTGGGCAGGAGGCCCTGGACCAACACAAATTGATTTGCGGCGCGCACAAACCAATTTTACCAGAGATGCCTAAGGAGGGTGATTGTGCTGAGTTCAAGGTGTGGAAAAACACGGTTAGGCACCCGTTTGTCATTTACGCGGATTTTGAGGCGATCTTGACGAAGACGGAGGAGGCAAGAGGGGGTAGTACCACGATTACTCAGAAACACGAAGCTATGAGTTATGGGTTTTTGGTGAAAGCGAGCGATGACGTACCGGCAGAGTTATTGCTTCAACACCAGATACCGGCGGGGCCGGTAATCTACAGAGGCAGCGAGGACCGGACGGACGTAGCGAGACTATTTTGTGGAGGCGATAGTTGAGTGGCCCAGAAAATTGAAAATCTCATGAAGACGAATATTCCGTTAAAAATGGCTGAGGGTGAAGAAAAAACACATCAAGAGTGTATTAAGTGTAATTTATGCAAATGTATATTAGTCGGGGGCGATAAGGTTAGGGATCATTTGACAGGCAAATTTAGGCAGACCCTGTGCTCTAGGTGTAACTTAGAGTTGCAACAGCCTAAATTTGTACCTGTCTTTTTTCATAATCTCACAAACTACGACTCGCACTTCATAATCACTGAACTTGGGTATGATACTAAGACTATCAACGTTATACCGAACAGTGAAGAGAAATATATATCTTTTTCGAAATATATAAGTAGTACCTTCACTGTTCGGTTTATCGACACGTTTCGGTTTATGGCGTCGAGTCTGTCGTCCCTGGCTGAAAATTTGCTTACACCCGAACATGAGAAATTCCGTGAGACAGCCAAACATTTTGTCACCGGAGATATGCCGCTCGTGACTCGTAAGGGGGTGTACCCGTACGAGTACACGGATAGTTGGGAGCGGATAGAGGATACTAGGTTACCGAGTAAGAGGAGCTTTTACAGTACGTTAACAGAGACCGGGATTAAGGAGAGCGAATTTGACCATGCTAAGGAGGTATGTATACACTTCGCACGTATTTAGATCTATATTGGAAAATTGTTGTGTGTTACAGGTATGGAGGCATTTTAACCTGTAGGACGCTCGGTGATTATTCCGACCTGTACCTGAAAATTGACGTGTTACTGCTGGCGGATGTTTTTGAGAACTTCCGCGACTTGTGTATGAAGACGTATAACCTGGACGCCGCCCATTATTTCACCGCCCCAGGCTTAAGTTTCGATGCGATGCTTAAGTTCACGGGGCAAAAGCTCCAGTTATTGCATGATTACGACATGTTGTTGATGTTCGAAAATGGTCAGTATATTATTTTTAAATGTGTATTTAATAATCTTATATATTTGTTATAGGTATACGTGGAGGATTGGTGCAGGCGAGCAAGCGATATGCGACGGCGAACAATGTAAAGACTCCGGGGTATGAAGAAACGAAGGAGAAATCGTGGATCATATATCAGGACTGTGAGTATATTTTTTTCAAAACTTTTTAATATTTTTCTTACTTAATAATATTTTTTAAATTTTATAGGTAACAACTTGTACGGGTGGGCAATGTCTCAGTACATGCCGTACGGTGGGTTCAACTGGGTTGAACCTACATTGAATGGGTTGAACGATTTAGACGACACTTCACCCATAGGACGAGTGTATGAGGTGGACGTGTCGTATCCAAGACACTTGCGTAACGGACATAACGACCTGCCTTTCCTGCCACAAAACAGCGTGCCTCGAGGCTCGAAGGTTAGGAAGTTGATGGCGACATTTGAGAAAAAGGAGAATTACATCGTACATTATAGGAACCTACAGCAGGCCATTAAGAATGGTTTGATAGTTGAAAAAGTAAATATTTGTATTTTATATGATTTTAAACAGATTTTTAACATTTCTCTTATTTTGTATAGGTACATAGAGTGATACAGTTTAACCAGTCAGATTGGTTGGCTAAATATATAGATTTAAACACCGAAATGAGGAAAAAGGCTAGGAACGCATTTGAGAAAGACTTCTTTAAATTGATGAATAACGCTGTATTTGGTAGGTTACTTTTAAATTTTTAAAACTTTTAAAACTTTTTAAAAATTTACTATTGTGCAGGAAAAACTATGGAATCGAAACGAAAACAGCTGAAAATAGAGTTGGTATCCTGTGAGAGGAGGTTACAGAAATGTATTAATAAAACTACTTTTAAACACTGCACTAATTACAATGAAAACCTCAATGCAGTAGCGTTGGAGAATAAGATAATTAAATTTGACAAACCTATATATATTGGTAAATATACTTTTAAATTATATTGCTAAATATACTTTTAAATTATATAATACATTTATTTTCTATAGGATTTTCAGTGCTGGATATCAGTAAGACGTTGATGTATGACTATCACTACAATGTTATGCAGAAGCACTATAGGGATAAAATTAAGCTAATGTACACTGATACAGGTAAATATATTAAAACTTATCTAATTTTCATATATTATATTTATTTTTATTTTTAGATTCGTTGATATACCATATTAAAACTACTGATTTTTATGAAGACTTGGCAGCTAATCACAGCTTGTTGGATCGAATGGATACAGCTAACCTACCCAGTGATCATCCATGTTATGTTGCAGTTAGAAAGAAGGAACCTGGGTACTTCTCAGATGAAGTAGATGCTGATATAATCACCGAATTTTGTGCATTGAGGGCAAAGTCCTACGCTTTTAATGTATATGCAGGAGAAGAGGATGCGGTGAGAGATAAGGACGACAAGGATAAAGTTGGTGGTGAAAAAATTAAAGCAAAGGGGATAAGGCAGCATGTGGTTAAGAACCACATGACATTGGAAGACCACAAGAAATGTTTATTTGGAGAAGCTGGCGTGGAGGCGTATAAGGATAACGTGTCAATACGGTCATTCAAACATCAACTCATGACGATTAAGACGAAAAAATTAGCATATAACAGCTATGATGATAAGAGGTTGGTGCTGCAAAATAAAGTACACACACTGGCCCATGGACATTATAGTATAGAGTAAGTTATTACAAAATATATATTTAAATTATTTTACTAACATTTTCTCTTAATTTTACAGGGAAGATGAACCAGAGGATGATTGGCCGGAATTAGATTTTATGGTGGGGAAAGAAGGGTGGAACTGGAACGAGGAAGAGAAAGGCTTAATGAGAGACCTTCTACAGTGCCTAACCTAAGTTTATATACTGTACATTTTTTTTTGTTATATATATATTGATTATTGTAAATATTACTCTATTAACTGTTATATTATATTGATTAATGTAAATAACTTGTAAATATTATCCTAATAATTGTTATATAATGTAAATACTTGATAATAAATTATTGTGTAATTTGTAAAATATTAGATTAGTGTATAAATTTGTAGTATTAACACCTTTATAATGTATACTTTGTAAATATCCATGTAAATGTATAATTTTTATATTGTATAATTTGTAAATACTCTGTAAATATTATCCTATTAATTGTTATATAATGTAAATACTTGTTAATAAATTATTGTGTAATTTGTAAATATTTTTGTAAAATACGAGTATTAGATTAGTGTATAAATTTGTAGTATTAACACCTTTATAAATATCCATGTAAATGTATAATTTTTATATTGTATAATTTGTAAATACTCTGTAAATATACCGTATGCTTTTGCTAGATATGTAAGTTAGTTTACAATGTTTTCTTATAATATTTTTTTTTTTTTGTATAAATGTTCATGTTTTTCTGTTTCAGGTAGATGGAAGTCAATATATTTAATTAAAAAACCTTGTAAATGGTAACATATATAAATGTATGTATATATGTTAGCATATAAATAAAAAACAATGTTAAAATATAATATTATTATATTTATTAAATAAAATGTATACAAAAAACTTTAAGAATTATTTATAAACCATTTTCTTATAGCAAAAACTTTATAAAATGTACATTGCTTAGGATTAAATTCCATATGAAAAATACAGCAAGGTAGAGTTTCGTCATCACATATTTGATCCAAACGAGGGCAGCCTAAGTCTTCAATGTTGATGAGTGCAACGTGTGGTATATGCTCCATAAGAACTTGTTTTTTCTGTTCACCTTTGACGTAGATGCAACTGAATTTTAATGAATTCAATATTTTACCTACTTCTTCGTACTCGACATCACCAAATTCTATAGCTAGTTGATGATAATTACGTTCCAGCCACTTGTTGGTTTTACGACTTTTGTTATCCTCTATGGATTTTGAATGTTTAAAAATCCAGTGTTGGGTCGCCCATGTAAACGTGTCTACTATAGACATTTCTTTAATCATATATTTATTGTTGACGCCGAGTATGCATTGCATGTCCAATATGGCTGAAGACATTATGGCTTGTCTTTATAATAAGTTTCTATAGTGTTAAGACGGCTCAGTATAGATGGTATTATTTTTTTAATCTCGCCTATAGTTTCTTTGATATATTGTAATGATACTTCGCCTCTTGTCATATGCTCTGTAATCTCTATGCACGTTAATTCTAACTTTTCTGTTTTTTCCTCTTGAATTTGTATGGATTTATGGTTTTCTTCGAGTAAATGCTCAATTTTATCGAGTTTATTCGAATACGATTTAACAATTTGTTCGAGATTTACTAAAAAATTATTAGTTTCACTAGACTGAGAACTACCGAACACGTTCATGTCTGTAGCTAGACTAACACTATTTTCTAATGTCACGTACATTTATCCAACTATTGTGTGTATTATCAAACCCTAGCCATTTGACAAAAATTTGCTCCCCCTTCTTACGGATAATTTTCTCCACTAAATAGTCATTCGGATAGTTTGTTTTCAATATTTCCTCTGAATAAAAACAACCAGCAATCGGTTTTCCAGTATAATCTTGTAGCTGATAAGTAGTAGGTAATGTTTCGTTATTTTAACAATTTTGAATATTTCTGTAGACCAGCTAGGTAAATATCCTTTTGTAAATACACTTTTATATGTGCTTATACGAACGTTATCACCAACGTTAAATTTGATTGTTCCATTAATAATTTTTCGTTGTTTAATTACGACAGCCGCCGGATCTGCATCAGCTTGCACTGGTGTCATAAGTATTGTCCTATGTTTTGAGTTGTTGTACTCGTTAATCAATGAAGGTAAAATTGATATCCATTCGTGTGAACCGCGTGCCGTAAACTCTCTAAACATTTTTTCTTTCAATGTGCGGTTGAAACGTTCGATAATGCATGCTTTCATGATGCTACACGTTGAATATTTGTGTATGTTATGCTTTTTCATCAATGCGTCGAATGTAGCATTGTAAAATTCTTTACCATTATCGAGCTGTAATAGTTTTGGTGTGCGTGTGAGCAGTATTTTAGACATTGCATTTGAAACTTCTATAGCAGTTTTAGATTTTAATTTATAGCCCAAGCAAACTTTGTAAAACAGTCTATGACGCACAAAATATACTTGTACCCCTTGTTTTGTTTTGAATATGGTATCATTTCGACCAAGTCGGCCTGCCACAGATCGTTTTTGCCATAAACATTAACTCTACGTCTTGTATAATTTTTTCTAACAGGTTTGTGTAGTTCGTTCGCAATTTCGCGTTTAGACATTTGGAATACGTTTTATTATACCCGCTTCTTGCAGTTCTTCAAAAATGGATATTATTTCGTTCGAAACACCTGTATTACCAGCCGCTTTTGACGCTAATAGTAACCGCAATCTATCGACTAGTTCGTTAGGATCGTTCCAGTAAACTAAACTATGTTTTTGTAATTTCAAAGATAGACCTCTACCCGCTAGAAATAAATTTTGGATTATATCATAATATTTATTTCCACCTTTTTTAATTTCTTTTCCATCTGTTTTTAGATGCGCTGATGTTTGAATTAATATAGATTTATATGATTCTAAATCATGTTTGGTGTAGAATTTTGGAGATTTTGAAAACACTAAATTACCAAGCCCTTGTGTTAACGGGTATGAAGTATCTTCAATAATCAATTTATTCCCGACAAGATTAATTTCTTTTTTCCCCAAATATACACTTCCGTTTGATCGTATTTTTGGCCCATACGTTTTGTCTATATCGTAAGACTTAAACCAGTCGTTTATTTTAAAATCTGACGAATCGTCTGTATTGTTTATTTCAAAATATTGAGAATCTTGAGAGTCTTTTCCAAGTTCCGTGGGTGGGTTTTGAAATGTTGCAGGATTTAAATGTTTTATTTCGTTTAATGGTTCGATAATCGGACTTAATGTTTCTGATACTATTGAGTGAATATCAGCTTTTCCGTGTTTTAATGCTTCATACTTGCGTTTAATATTTTCTTTGGCTTTAATCAATTCTCCGAGTACCTCACCGTTAGAAGCCATGTCTGTGAATGTGGTGTTTTCATAAAAACAACACTTTATATAACGACGAATGTGTCAAATCCGAGGCGATATCGACCATTGTCACGTTCACAGTCTTTGTTTATTACGATAAACTCGAATCTCCCCCGACTCCAACACGATGTACTAAAGTATTTAAACTCTGAATATGACATATCACCAGAGCAATGCTCATTGTATACATGCTTTAAATTAGTTTCGTCTTGTTTAAATAACACAATAAAATTAGCGTTATCACGCAAAAGTTGTTTTGGCACTTTTGAATAACTCTGAGCCAGGTAGCAAACGTCTATTAAATTATGTCTAGCTCTGGAAAAGTAAGTTCTTGCAATATTTTGGTTTTCAGAAATAATATCGTCAAAAATAAATACAGAGTTTGGCAAAGCTTCTTCAGGTGCTATAACTTTTTCATTTTCGTAGAACGTGAATAATTGTATTCCATCAATGTCTGATAATATATCGCTAAGCATTTTATATTTAGGCTGATCCAATGTTTTCGAATATATGTATACGTTTTGAAATCGTATTCCGTTTATATTGGTTAATAATGTGTAAATTAAATTTGTTTTTCCGCAGCCAGAAGGGCCCACGATAAGCGCGCGTATCGTATTTGGTAGAAGCGCTCCGTGTCTGTGTTTTTGATCTGATGTAGGCGGGTCCACGTTTTCAACTGTTAGTTTTATTTCTTGTTTGATGAACTTCATTTTTTATATAAATAACTGAGCAACTATGATAAATCAATCAGTACACAATGTCACTCGCTCGAAGAAGCAACAAGAATAAGGGCAGTGGACTTATCAACACGCTTATAAACAAATTACCAATCGAGCTTCACGTACCTGGTTTTATATATATAAACCTTATAATATTATAATATATACAATAATAATTTTATATTCTAGGTTATCAATACTGTGGACCTGGTACAAATTAAAAAAAACGATTAGCACATGGTGATAAAGGGATAAACCCTCTGGACTCTGCTTGTAGAGATCACGATATTGCATACGAACATAGCAACTCTATCGCAGATCGAAACAAAGCCGATTATATATTAGAGCAGCGAGCCTGGGATAGGTTCAAGTCAAAAGATTCTAGTTTAAAAGAAAAAGCTGTGGCTTGGGGTGTGACTACCGCTATGAAAACAAAACGTAAAATAGGCGGAGGTTGTGGGTTTAAAGCAGCACTTAAAGCAAGTAAAAACGTTATAAAGAAAAATATCGGTGAAAAAAACTTGATGAAATTAACTAAAAAATGTGTAGCTGTCGCGCGAAAAACATTTAAAATTAAGAAGACTAAAGTTCCACGAACAATAACGATCCCGAAAAAAGGCGGCTTGTTACCACTCATACCGATTTTTTCCGGTTTGTCAGCTCTGGGAGCCTTAACTGGTGGTGTTGCCAACGTTGTGAAAATGGCTAATGAATTTAATAGACACACACCATCCCATTTAGGCAAAGGTTTATATCTAACACCGTATAAAGGCAACTCATACAAAATTGATTCCGGTTTATATCTCGCACCATTTAAAAGTGGAGGGGGTGCCAAAACTAAAAAAAACTAATATCTACGTTACCCAGGAGAGCGTTGTACGATTTCGAACTTATAAAAATCGCTCGTTTAATGAAAATACCTCATTTCATCGGCGTGTTTACCAGAGATAGGTTATCTACACGTCCTAAACGCCAAGAATCAGCGATTATTAACTTGGACACGGAAAACGGTACAGGAACGCATTGGGTAGCGTATAAAAAAATCGGAAATCAAGTTAAATATTACGACAGTTTTGGAAATTTACCAC